TATAGCCAGGTACCGTTTCAAACAGCAGAAAGTTATAACAAGAAGGAATGAAATAAGGAGAAAAATTGGAAAAAAGGCAAGAAATGAAAATTAGAAAATTTCTGTGATTATAAGTGTTCCGGTCCATTAAGTCGTATACATTTCTTACCATTGCCACAGTTGGAACAAGCCATCATCCTTCTTTCATTTTCAAGACGAATAAGTAATCCGGTTATGAGGGCTGTAACTTGAACACCGGTTCTTGTTCATTAGACTTTTCCACCATCGATTGACAGGTCCATTTCCTTGATCTTTCTGCTGGAAATCAGTTTCTCAGAAATTCCATAATTTATTTTAGTGAAGCAAATTGGTACTTACATGTTTAGCTTACTGGGGCTTAAACGCGTTTAATCCACACCCAAACAGCCTTCGGAAATAAAAACCCTGGTAGCTTTACCAACGAGTGGTTGCTGTTGGCAAAACCCAACTACTTTCGGGTGACACTGTCAAATAGCTGTTATGGAATTATTTTTATGAGGGATGCGCAAAATAGAAAAGAATGGAGAAGTTGCCAGCTACATCAGTAGGGAGAAACACTGTGCTGAAGTGGAAGTTTTTCAAAGCGTCAAGTCGTCCATACGGAGTGAAATATGGGGATTTTTGGCTTTTAATATTAAATATTTTTGAATTTTTTAGATTTCCTTGGCAAAATGAATTTCTGGAATACGGGCGTCTACTGCTGGAATGCATCTATTACCTGTCAGTGTTCTGCCAACCACACTTGCCTTACCACGTACAGTTGAGCAATGTACAATCAAACGATACTTTGTATTGTGGTGCGATGGAATTCATTGAAGCAGTTGAGGAAAAGTACGAAACTGTTATGGGTCGATTAGAGGAAGTTTACAAGCACGATAGGCCGAGGCTGTCTGTGCTGGCAATCGAGATCATTGAAGCTGTTTTGTGTTTGGGAGACGTTGAAACGGTTTGTTTGTTTGTTTTTTGTTTTTTGTTTTTTTGAACTAACAGGTTAAGATTTATTTGGGAGATCTAAATGCCATTACCAGTGTTTTCATTAATTGTCAAAATTCGATTGTGTTCCTCTCCACGGTGGGTAAATAAAGCCAAACAAACTGCATTTAACACACAGTGGATTTCAGAGCCCCGTTCTCTTCCAATCTCCCTCCTGATTCACGAAGTCTTTTTCCGCCAAAGAAATTTGCATATTTTTTTCGGGGGGTCCGTACGCAAGATTTAGGCACGTATGAACGAAGACTTTGAAACGGGAGAATGACACATAGGGTGTGTCCAAAATTTCAGCAAGAATATTCGCTGCTTGTATTTTTTTAAGATTTTTACAACACTTTTAGTAAAAATATTTCTTTTCCTACTTGAAATATTTGAGAATGTTCAAAAGTTCCTTGTTACGTCGTTGTCCCCGACTTTGAATTGTCTAGGCCGAAAACGAAAAGGTGGAAGGGGACTTTATTTAAAGAGGTATAAGAGCGGAGGTTATGCGCTGGACGACCGACTGTGAGACTGATCTTGACGCGACGATTCGACCAAGTTAGGGCAACTTTATTACACACACTAGTGCAACAGCATATATTCATCGTTAGTCAAAATCACATATTATCAACTCAGAGTCGAAGGCTTGGCGCGTTCCTCTCTATAGATTAGACTCTAAAAATACATTTTCACTACCTAACATTCCTTTTTTTTAAAGATTTTTTACAAAAAAAAAAGCGAACATGACGCAGTGGAAGTAGTACTGTTGTCGTGCAGCAGGTGAGGGCTCGACTTGGCGGGTGTGGCAGTGATTCATTTATTCATTTCAATGGTAAACTGGTACTGGCATATGCCAAGATGTCAGGCCTTTCCTGAGCTTGCTTATGAACAACTCTTCAAAGAAAGGACCATCGATAGCCTTGTCAGTGGTTGGTTGCTGTTGAGACACGTTACCACTTGGACTGCTTCAGAATGTCTCCGTTTTTCACGGATTTCGGATTCAGACGGGGTTTTGTCTTTTGGCTTTTTGAAAAGAGACTCGAAACGTTGGCGTGTTGCAAAATTTCATTAATTCGTACTTTTTGCTTAGGATATTTTCATCAGTTTAGCCACTGATTTATGTTTTGGGAGGGTTTTTTTGAATTCTCAAATTCAGGGAACAAAACTTCCTTCCATTTCCGCTCCCTAGGACAGGCGGAGATGCGCAGGAAATAACCTGAGTGGTGGAATCTGACAAATTCAACCACTCGTTGGTAGTGGCTGCCGATGACTCTTTTATAGTGAATCATTTAAAGGCAAATTGATAACGAGTTTGAATCCTTGGCATACGTTTAGTACCAATTTACTTTCGAATCTTAAAAAGATTGTTTGACCTGCTGGTAGAGTACATTGGCGGATCCTAGGGGGAGGGGGGGGGGCGGGGGAAAGGGGAAAGGGGAAAGGGAGGCCTTCCGCCCCTTTCTCCTCTCAAGGGCTTAGGTAGCAGTTGTTTTACTCTACAGAAATCTGTTCGGTACCTCCTACTGTCCTCCCCTTTCTTCCAGGGACTGCCCTGGATCCGCCTATGGTAAAGTGGGGCCTTCAACCTTCAGCACAAGGGCAGCTCTAATTTTTATGGTGCCACACCCGCCAGTTACAAACTTTCATATCCATTCTTAATCTCTCTGTGTTCACTTCTGTTGCTATTTAGTTAGCTACACTTGTGCTCGAACTATACGGTGATTGTGTGGTGAAATCGGAATTACGAAACAATCGCTTGGTGATCCTGAAGAAAATTCAACGGCTGGCGGAAAAGAATGCGAATTTGAAAGCACTGTTCAAGCGGCTGTACAATCTCGAATCCGGTGCTAACAAAAAAGAATAACGTGTGATCCGGGCGCTGTTGTTCACAAAAAAACAAAAATTTCTTTGTTATTTCTTGTTGCTTTCTTTATTTTATGATTATTCTGTCATATATTGTTGTTATTTCTCTACTTCTGTTTCCGTCGCTTGCGTTTTTTTTTTTTTTTTGGCTGAGTATGAGGGCTGTGCATAGGCAGATCCA